GAGCCAGGGGCCGGTGGGTCCTCAAGGGAGAGGGCGGAGGAGGGAGGAAGAGATGGAATGAGGATGGGACCTCTGGGAAGAAGCAGGGTATGGGTGGGGCTTTGGAGAGCAGCCATGGTAGAGCACTCACCAGGAAAAAGGAAAGCCAGCCCGGGATGGATGTAAGGATGGATGCCTGGATGGGTGGATGGGCGGATGGAAGGAAGGATGGATGGGTAGATGGTGGGCGGATGGAAGGAAGGGTGGATGGGTGGTCAGGATGGATGGTTAGATGGGTGGATGGATGGGTGGATGGGCGGGTGGAAGGAAGGGTGGATGGGTAGATGGGCGGATGGAGGGAAGGATGGCTGGGTGGTTAGATGGGTGGATGGGCGGGTGGAAGGAAGGATGGATGGGAAGCATGGATGGGTGGATGGGCGGATGGATGGGTGGATGGGCGGATGGAAGGAAGGGTGGATGGGTGGATGGGCGGATGGAGGGAAGCATGGATGGGTGGATGGGCGGATGGATGGGTGGATGGGCGGATGGAAGGAAGGGTGGATGGGTGGATGGGCAGATGGAGGGAAGGGTGGATGGTTAGATGGGTGGATGGATGGGCGGATGGAAGGAAGGGGGGATGGGGGGATGGATGGGTGGTTGGGCGGATGGAAGGAAGGGGGGATGGGGGGATGGATGGGTGGTTGGGCGGATGGAAGGAAGGGGGGATGGGGGGATGGATGGGTGGTTGGGCGGATGGAAGGAAGGGTGGATGGGCGGATGGAGGGAAGGATGGCTGGGTGGTTAGATGGGTGGATGGTGTGTAGGGAGCGTGAGACACTGGAAGCTGGGACTTGATGACCTCTCAAGGCTCCTTCCAGTTCTATGATTGTTTCATCCCTATCCCAGTGCCTGGCCAGACTGCCACGTTGGACGGGAATTGGCTGGTTACCGTTCAGACTGTCTAAGTGGAATTACTTTCCTGGGGGCGAGGGAGGCGGTACCTGGATATTCTCATCTGGTTCTGTAGTGGCCCTGTCCAGAGCAGGGCCCCCCACCAGCAGCTGTCTCGGTGTTGAGTGGGTGCCCTGGCGTGATTGCTTCACAGTCTTCCCTGGGGTCATGCCATGCTACCAGATCCCTGCCGGTTGCCTCTGGTCCCACAGGTCTTTCAGCAGCTAACACCGCCTGTCGTGAAATCCGGTGAGCCAGGCCTGAGGAACCACTCCCATTGCAATCTGGGGCCCGCCTAAGGGCCTGCGTCGCTGCAGTTCTCCACCCCTCTGCCTCGGCCGGCCCCAGAGCCGGGCAGTGGGCACCTTGCCGTACCAGCCAGGGGGAAGGGGCGGTCGATAGTGCTGTACGTGGTGGCCCCAGCGAGGTGCTAGGGCGCCAGGTTCCACTCCTGCTCAGGCAGCACGCCAGGCACAAATGACGCATTCGGTTCTTTTACAATCCCCCTTAGACCAGCCAGAGGTCTGGGGCCCGAGCGGCCAGATGGGGAGGGCCTGCCTCTTTCCCCACGTACACTGTTTTCACAACCCCGGGCTGCAACGGGTTAGCCCTGATTTACACCAGAGCCGGGGGAGGGGGGGAGGAGAAGATACCTTAGAAATTATTCTTATTCTCATGTGATGAAAAGGGGCGCCTGCCGCCAAAGGAAAATGAACTGGGCAGAGTTCCGTGTTTGAATCGAAAGCGACGCACTAAGGCGAGGAAAGGCGGCGGGAATGCGCCGGGGGCCCGATGGGCCCATTATCTACACCATGCACACCTTGAGGAGAGGCTCGCGGGGCCCATTATCTCCACCATGCGCCCCTTGAGGAGAGCCCCGGGGGGCCGCCTCCCTCCGCCCCGCGCCAGCGCATCCCTGGCTCCATGCCGCTGGCTTTCCACAGCTGGGCAAAATCCCAGCGTTTCCCCTTCCACCTGAGCTCCGCAGCCTGCGACTCCGCAAGCAGGTAATTAACTCTCAAACAATGGCAGGATTTGCAGATTAGCAGGACCCAGGAAGGAGTGGGGAAACTCATTTCCACCAAACAAAGGGGGAGGGAGCGATTAGTTGCTCTAGCGACAAGAAGACAACTCGGCTAGGGCCATGGACGCTGATGAAGAGATGGAGAAGCGCTAATATCACCCAGGTTGATTTGTCTGCACCTTTAACCTTCCCCTGATTTCTACCATGCAAATGTGGAATCTAAGGGAAATGCAACCCCAGATGAGGGGGAGTCTCTGTCTCCCGGCCCAGCTCCAGCCCTGAGATAAAGTCGCTTTTCTTAAATGCTGTCTTACAAGGCCTTTTACGGCAGAGGAGGCAGCATGCTACGAAGAAACAGAGCTTTCCCGGCTCCCTGGCAGCCCCTGGAAGGGTTGTGTTCACAAGACTGAAATAGCTCCCTACAGGGAGCAAGCGAGCAGGAGCTGAGGCCTGGTAGGGGCCAGAATTTGGGGTGACAATGCACCCCACAGTTAAGACAGCTGGGGAAAGTCTGGGTGTGCCCGATTGCTTTAAAAGGAAGGAGAAGCAGGGAGGAAAAAAAGCCTGGACTCTTTTTGGTGGTCTATTCATTAGACTGTCAATAACACTCAGCCCCAGCATATTGACAGCGGATTAGCACAACGCAACTCTGTGTACAGGACCAATGCCTTTTTAACCCAGCTTGTTTCCAAATCAATACACCCATCAGCATTTGAAAATTAGCCCGAGATGAGATTCCAATACTCAGGCTGGTGTGCCATGCTAAAAGGGCTCCCCTCCAAGTCACAGAGAAAAGCCGGCTAGCAAAGGATTCAACGTTTTCCATTCATCCCCACCCAGGCGGTGACGTTTTGCACACACGAAACCGGGCCCACGCCTTCCTGCCCAGTGCACACCCCCACGCAGGTTCCTTCTGCACAGGCGCATATGTGAGCACCCATCCCGCGCCTGTTCAGCACACCCGTTCTGGGGAATGGGCACGGACGAAGCAGCAAAAGGACCTCAACAAGTGACCTTGGAAAGTGAGTGTTTTCCAGAGCCACACCCCAACGTGCGACTGGGAAGATGACAGACCTGTGGACAGTGGGAGGCAAAGGGAGTAGATGACCCAGGGCCTGGCCACTGCTGCTGCTATTGCAGAAGCAGTGGTGGCTGCAGGACCCAGCCCCGCCCCTTCTACCTGAGGCCCCGCCCCTTCTGGGGGCATGGAGCCGCCCCACCTCCTTGCCCAGTTTCCTGGCCTCCTTGGGTGAGGAAGAGCTTGAAAGTGTCTCTGTGAGAGTTGGAAGGAGCTAGCAACACCCCCACAGGGACATGTTCATGCTCTAGGGTCCCTGGAATGCTTGCTTAGGTCCCAAGGGTGACTTGGAATGGGGCAGCTGTGTTGGGAAGTCTGGCTATGCCAAGACGAACAGCAGAGGACTGCCACTCGCTACGTGCAACTAGAACGACTCCATCGGAGTGAATGCTCGGGTCAAGCACCAACAGTCAATGAGACGGGCTTGGCCAGGCTGAGATTCGTGTCATTTCAGTGACAAGGGGAATTGGTCCTTCCAGGAGGCTGACATAGGATCGAATCCCCCTTATTTCACTCTGGTGAGGCCACATCTGGAGTGTTGTGTCCAGTTCTGGGGCCCCCACTATAGAAAGGATGTGGATGCATTGGACAGGAGCCAGTGGAGGGGGACCAGAATGATTAGGGGGCTGGAGTGCATGACCTACGAGGAGAGACTGAGGGATTTGGGTTTGTTTAGTCTGCGGAAGAGAAGAGTGAGGGGGGATTTGAGAGCAGCCTTCAACTCCCTGAAGGGAGGTTCCAAAGAGGATGGAGAGAGGCTGTTCTCAGTGGTGACGAATGGCAGAACAAGGAACAATGGGCTCAAGCTACAGTGGGAGAGGTCTAGGTTGGATATTTCCGTAGGAGGGTGGGGAAACACTGGGATGGGTTACCTAGGAAGGGGGTGGAATCTCCATTCCTAGAGGTTTTTAATTCTCGGCTTGACAAAGCCCTGGCCGTGTTGATTGAGTTGGGTTGGTCCTGCCTAGAGCAGGGGACTCAATGACTCCTGAGGTCTCTTCCAGCTCTATGATTCTATGAATCACACTAGCCCCCTGTGAGGGAGCGAGAAGAGGGCCTGGTGGTGCAAGGTCTAAACAAGGCCTTTTTCCCAACTAGCCCCGTTTTACCTGCAGCCAATGCCAGGCCTGGAGGGAGGATAAAAGAGAAGAATCCTTTTTGTTATAAAGCTTCAGGGGGGGTAGCTGAGTTAGTCTGTGCAAGATAAACTTAAAACCCAACAAACAGTCCGGTCGCACTTTAAAGACTAACAGAACACGCAGATGGTATCAGGAGCTTTTCTGCGTGTTTTGTTAGTCTTTAAAATGCTGCCAGTCTATTTACTGGTTTTTACGTTTATCCTTTTTGTTACGTTGCCTCGTTCTGCTGAGATTGCAAAGCCGTTGCCTACTGTGAGTTGGATGTATGGACGCACAGGTGAGCACACGCCGCCCGAGCAGCGTGCATGCACACACTAGTGAGTACACGCTTAGAAAACGCAGCTCTGCGATTCAAACGTCCTCCCTGATCCTGGCACAGAGTGCACCAATCCGCTCCCGCCACGCCCGTTCCTTGCTCCCACATCCCACGCCCCACGCGCCCCTCCTCCACACACACAATGGGGTTGGCGGTTTCCCGCCGGCAGGAGAAAATCATGCTTGGAACGGAGTCTCAGGGCGGAGGCGGAGGCCTGATGACGATTCAAAGGGAGTCAGGCAAACCCGGCCTCATTTTCTCAGACAAAACAAGACGCCGGGTCTTGGCTCACTCCTGCTTGGACGGCCTGGCCCCACTGGACAGGGCGCAGGCCAGAGGCAGGCTGAGCAGGAGAACTGGGGTGAGGCTGGCAGCTGGAGGAATGGGGATGGAGAGGCTGCAGTTCGGGAAGAGGGAGATGAGGGGGGAGCCCCAGGGAAGCAGACGGGATGGGAAAAGGGAAGGCTAGGAAGCAAGGCAGTGAGCTGAGGGGCTGCCTCCCCTGGGCCTTACCTTGCACGATGAGATGCACCCGGGAGGTCTTGGGGTGGTTGTCTGTCTGCACAGAGCAGGTGTAGGGGCCCTCGTCGTACACATCCACGTCCTGGATCTGGATGCTGTACTGGGTTTTGGTGTTGGACAGGAGCACCACGCGGGGGTCCAAGCACCACTTGTCGTTGCCGGCGTAGAGGATGCTGCTGCGGGTCAGCCAGGCACCTGAGGGGAAGGAGAAAATGATTCATTAGCACGTCGCCTCGCGCGGCCTTGCTCCCCCGGCGCCTCCTTGCCTTCTGGCCTTCTGCTGTTTTTAGCTTTGCTGAGAGCAGCAGTTTCAGAGACCCAGTAGCTTGGGTCTCCCAGGAGGAGGACGTCAGCACTTTGCCTCTCTGCTCGGGGCTGTGTCTCGGCTAGAATTCTACCTGCGCCAAATTCACGAGGGAGTCCAAAAAGGCTCCTCAATGATTTTAGCGTTCCCTAGCTCGGGTGCCTCTTGCTCCATTCCCAAGTGGCACTTTGGGCCCCTTCATCCTCTCCAATGCTGCCTTTTCCAAGTGCGTACAAGACAGCTGAGTGACAACTTACAACTTTTGCCCAAATTCCAATTCAAACTTTTTTGGAAACTTCAAATGCCTGTTCTCCCCCCCCCCCCCCCCCCGCAACTAAACATGCATCCAAACTAAGGGTGAGGTACAGCAAGGGGAGCTAGATGTTTCCTGATCCTGACAGCAGGAAAGAGAAAATATCTCCTGTTCTCCCAGCCTCAGATGCCATGTTTATATTCTCTCCAGGCAACTTCGTTACTTTTTCCAGCAATGGTGATGCAAATTAACTTCCAAGTCACCAAGCAAGGGAGCAGTAGGTACCACAGAGGGGACCCAGGGAAACTTCAGCAAATGAAGCATAAGTCGTTAATGGAGCCAGGACGAATGCGGGCCCAGTGTATGGCATGTCAATGCAATTTTGAGACATCCTCGGGGGTCTCGTTAGGATAGGAGGTGCTATCACAGTCCAAGAAATAAATAATCCAAGTAACACAGAAGACAACTAACTTGACGCTTTCAATTCATGCACCTCTCTGCCGCCACTGTCTTGTGTCCCTCCACACTCTGCCCCCGCTTTGCGCCCAACTCAATGACTCTGATCTCAGCTTAGCACAGTGCCTGCTGCCCCCTGCCAGAGGGACAGACGAGCTCTGTTACGGGTGATTGACACATTTTAAGGAGGGACTCCTGGGCCCATACGCAGAGGCACCACATGGTCCCTATGCACGGAATCCGCGTCGGCGGGAATTCGAACAGCGTGAGCCTCCATCGCGAGCGGGCAGAACGAAGGATCCAAAATCACTGCTGAGTGTGCACTGCCGTTCCAGCAAACCTTGGAAAAATCACGTCCCCTTCTCGCCCATGCAACAATTCCCTCCCTGTGACTATTCATTTAGCTCCACAGAGGTGCAGCAGACAATTTTCTCCATGCTTCATCGAGGTTAGGCCCTGGATCTGGGCCCGGTACCCAAGACCTCGCAATCTTTCACATAGCAACACCTTCCCCCCACTCCTGTGAGATTGGCCACTGTCACTGTCTCATGGCTGGGGAATGGAGGAGCAAAGGGGGACAGCCAGAAGTTGGTGGCAAAGCAGGGATTTGAACCCTGGCCTCCCAAATCCAGAGTGGTGCTCTGACCACTAGGTAATTCTTCCTTGCTGCTCTGGAGGCTTTCAGATGAATGACGCCCTTGTCATGCACACGTTTTTATTATTTCTAACTCTCCCCCCCGGCTTCGCTCTGGGCAAACCCCGATGGCTTTATTCAGGTTTTGCTTCATCAAACTCTCATTGAACTCAGTGGGCGTCCTGACTGCGTACAGATGGAGCAATGCCCTTCGGATTCACCCATAGGCACATTTACTGTGTCCCTCTCTTTATTAATGAATAACGGTTCGTTATAGAGCTGGGCTGGAGTGACAGAGTTTAGCTCAAACATACTGCAGGCTTGAATTCGGGTTCCGGCCTGGGCCTACCTCTCTCTGCACATTTACACATCCTGTAAACAGGGGCGGGGAGCCTAAGGCCTGGGGACCGGATGTGGCCCCTGGTTTGCCTGGATTCGGCCCCCGAGGCTCCGGACTCCCCTCCAGCATCGAGGGGAACGTGGGACGTGTCTTTCTCCCTCTTAGTAGGGGCCATGACCGAGAGAGTTTTTTTGCTTTTCGCTCGTGTGCAGCCCCTGACCTGACCCCTGAAAGGAAGGTTCCAGCCAATTCTCTGAGGCCCATTTCCATAAAATTCCGAGGTTCCTGATCTACGGAGTTGGAGGGGCATTTCCGAGACGAAGCAGGTGACGGGAATGCAGATGATTAACTGCCTGTCTCCTTCTACACAAGTTTGCACCATGGACCAGTGAGCCGGTTTCAATCAAAAATCCCCCCCCGCTCCCTTCCACCTTTGTGAAGCACACGGGCCTGGAGATCTCGGGACAACAATGGAAGCAGACAGTGTGTAATCCAAGCCTTCCCTCCACGCCCTGGGCCTGAAAGCGCTTTTGAAAAGCACCGGGGCTCAGGCAGTGCGCGAGGCCACAGTGGAATCAGTGCGGTCGCTCTTCACAGTGCCTGGTCGCAATCTCTTCTCGTCGCGTAGACTCGCTCCTTTGTCCCCGGGAGGGGCAGGAGTTGGGCTTTTTGATGCTATTTAGGTTTCACCTCCTTACGCCTAAAACTAACCCAAAAACCGACACAATCCGAGGCGCTACCAGCGACGTGGGAACACGCACTTGGCGCTCGGATTCGGGATGGGAATGGTTAACCAATAGGGTCTGGAGTAGTGATGCTCCAGCTCCACGGGACCTGCCATGGGTGGGGATTGCGTCGGGCCGGCGTCAGTGTGCCACGGGCAGCCGCGGACGGAGCAACCTCCCTCCTGTGGGACAGGGCTGGAGCGGCCTCCCCACCCCACTGAATCAGTTAACGAATTAAACGGGGTTTTACAACCCGAGCGACTGCAGCAATATTGCTGAGCCCCCAGCCCTCCCTGTGGACAGCTGGGCCAGGACTGCAGGGACGAGCTCTCCTCCTTTCCTCCGACCCTCCTGAGACAGGGGTGGGCCAGGCAGCCATGATGCTCGGAAGGGCGGGGCCCAGGGATCGTGCTGAGGAGGGCAGAGGACCGGGTGGGCGGGGCTGCGTCACTG